GCTAAAATATGATTATTAATTCAGACATCTAAATTAAACTGGCTTTATACATAAAGGTCAGGTTGCTTGGCTCTGCACATCTATGCTGACTTATGAGCTGCCTCATTAGAATGCCACAGTGATTTTCACCATGATGGCTTTATTATCAAATGTCTCTCTTATTAGCATATTACAGTATCAAAGCATATACAATACCGGCGTTGTTGACAGGTTGATCCAATATAACTCAGGAAGAAAAAACATGGTTCTGAAATAGTCTAATCTCCTATTGAGGTCTGTAAGAGGTACCCCATTTGTTTCACCAATTTATTAGATATAATTTGCATATTTGTCAAAATAACTGCAGCCAATCTTTGTTATAATAAACTGACAGGTTGGATTTCCCTTCCCTGATTTGGAAGTGGAGAGACTGTGATCAGGATTCTGCATACATTAGTCTAGATACAATCTTGCCGCAGTGTGCATGCACACATTGTGAGGTGGAGAGGAATAGGACAACATAATCTGGCACTTTAAAGACTCTATCAACCCTGTTGGATTGCCTGTCATTCTTGCCTGACAGGGATTAATATCCCAGACTCTAGTACAGTTTATTTGGTCTTCACAATACTACAGGTTTATTTAGGTAAATGTATAAAAGGTTATTCTATTTGATGGAACCACTGTATCATACAAACCCCTAAACTGTCCCTTTATTCTGAAAAGATGCTCCCTGCCCTAATACAGGGTTTGGGAAGAGCCTCCCTTCTTTCTTTATTCATACTTTTAGAAAGAGCTCACACAATGGCTACCCGAGTGCTTCAATAATAGTGAAATATTCTGTACAGAGTAAAAGGACCCACATTTTAAAGATGGCATTTATAATAGCAGGGTTCATTCTGTAATGCTGCCGCTGCGGATGCTATTAAAACCGGCCTTACCTTTCTGGGTTAATGCAAAGCATTTAGCATACTTTACTTTTAAAATCACTGACCCCTTTTTTAATGTAGCTGTACACTTTGCTTTGTTGACATCACTTGGGATCACACAATGAATAAACATGCAACTATAAATATGAATATATGAAAAATAATCTGCCTGTTTTACATGCCTCAAAAACAGCCTCATCTGCTTAGATCAAAATGTTTAGAATTGTAACAAACCTGAAATAGGAGGAGACAGCAGTTTCCCAGAATAGCCTGCAACAGTGTTTCCGCCATATGTGTTCAGCTGTAGAAATGCACTGTGACAAGGGCATCACCTGCCGCACCATGAAGACTTTTCAAACACAAACACGTCTATTTGTCTAGACTTAAAGCATTTGAACCTAGGCACATTCAGTTATGTTGCAGAGAAGTGTCTCTTATGTGAACCTTTGTAGGATTATCTTTAATTATATGTGTTTGCTGAGAGGGTTTACCGACGGCAAGCTGTTTGTGTTTTTGTAGAGCCTGTGAGGGAGACAGGGACTTTGTATTGACTCTTTACTCTTTACTCTGAGTGAGTGGAGCCGGCTCCCAAAGAGCACAGGCTTGTTTCCAAGTCTTTGTAAAACAGATGATTAATTTACCTCTCTCCAATCCACTGCCCAACAACATTATTTATGTATCGACTCGAAATCCTCTCCTGCAAATGAGACAACATAAAATCCCACCTGTTTGAATTAGAGCACAATTATCATAGTTTTTGTTCAGCTGCAGGGCACTTGCTAAACAGCCCTCAAATAATTATCATAATGCTTCTTGACTTTCTGTTGCCGTATTTGAGTTCAGGCTCAAGTCTCTCATGGCCCTGTGCAAGGACCTGCTTGCATAAAAAACTAGTGTTTTTATTTAGAATATTAACGCTTTGATCTGTGAATAGCTAAAGCATTGTTTGAATTCATTCATCAAATCTGTGTTTATATAAATGATGGTAAGATGTATAAGTCATGAAAATACAGTATATATGCCGAATATTGTGTGAAATAAAAATATGTAAAGCAAAGGTAAAGCTTTAAATCTTTGACTGCTTATATGTTTATATATTTGATTTTTGCCAGATGGTATTTCAGTTGTGAAGTGTCACCCATGCAAACAGTGTTTGACAGGGTGTCAAAATTAATCAAACCATATGTAATAAATCAGAAAAAAAGGCATCTTAGAATAAGTGTTTTCTTTTTTGGGCAGCTGCTGTCGCTTTTGTTATTTGGTCTTTTAGTGAACTTCCTCGGACAGACCTCCATTCCTCCAGTGGGAATCCTGCTATCATTCCAGTCCTAAACGCCTCGCTTTCTGAAGATTGTTTTACTGGAGTCAGTGAATGTATTCTTAATCCCATATCACTGTGTGATACTGGTTCATTTACTCCTCTCCACTACTTCACTTTAGCGAGTGTGTAAATGTTTCAGCAAAGGATCTGTTTGCGTATGCAAGATCACTGTAGTGAGTAACAGAGTGAGGGCAGCCTGGTTGCACCAGTGGCTTGTCTTTCAGGCGTATATCTGTGGAGAAATCAATGCAGAATGTTGATGTGAGAGATATGTGGCCTCTGACTCTTCCCCCTCCTACACATAAAGGGATGCTCACACACACTCAGGCATGCATGCACACACAGTGGGTGAAGACAACATTGATTTTAAGAGGATACTCTTGCAGTGATTATAGTGTGCTTAACTCGTTATTTAAAATGTATCTGCTCTTGTGCACTCAAACTGATGCAAAACAAAAGCAAATAACAGCTTCCTCCCTGTTTTTCTCCATTTGTTTTCAGACACATGATGCATGTGTGGAATGAAGACCGTGACTTATCCTTTACTCCAGATGGTTACCAGGCCAACCCCAAATTGGTTGTCATCGTCCTGAATAGTGAGAGGAAGTGGGAGAAGGTAACAAATGAACACAGTGGTTACGCATGAGAGCACGGAAATTAAACAGTCAAAACACTTAAATTAAGATAGCGATCCCTGATTTTGTTTGTGTTTGTGTGTGTTTCCGCACACACAGATGGGCCGCTGGGAGAACGGGACGCTGTCGCTGATGTTCCCAGTGTGGCCGAGGTATAACTCCCATGGGGACGAGGATGCAGATGAAAACCATCTCTCCATCGTCACACTGGAGGAGAAACCTTTCGTCATCGTCGACAACGTAGACATCCTCACCGGCACCTGCATGAGAAACTCTGTGCCGTGCCGAAAGCATGTCAAAGAGTAAATAGACACACACTCAACACCAACAAACACACAGCACCTACACATTTAAGAGCCACACAACGATACTAGCAACAGGCTGACATTCCCTTAAGTGATCAGCTGATTGGATGTGTGTTATCAGGGGTTTTGATAGTTATGGCTTAGAAGAGGCCTGCTGAACCTACTAGCAGGTTCAGAAATCCTTTATCATATCTTCACATGGTTGATCACTGATATCAATACAAGACGACCAAGTAATAAAAGTAGTCATATAGTATAACAATCTAAATGTTGGGAGGAGGTCCTAGTTGGGGTGCATGAAAGGGTCGGTACACACATTTACCAAGGAGACTACTTCATGTCCCGTATGAATCCAAAACTCAATATTGTGATTTTTTTTAAGATCATTTTTAATTTATTTTAAAACCTATTTTAGTTATGTATCAACCCTACTTATTTCAACCCAAAACATGATCTATTGCTACAAAAACACGTAGCGTTGTTGCCTTGACCTAAACAACTTGTTTTGTTTCAACCCACAACGTTAATCACGCAGGTGTTTTACCTAATCATTTTGGGGGTAGGTGCAGTTTGCCCATATTTGCCCCGTGTAGTGCATGGCAATGGCAGTGATAACCAATTTGTTGAACAATATACATTAAAAAAAGATCTCATATATTCAGACATGCACAGGGGGTTACAGGAGATCCAAACATGGCTATTTAATGGTGTGATACCATTCTGAACAGGTGTAACAATTATCTAACAATGTAGTTACTCCTGTTTTTCGAGGTAGAAAGAATATACATTATCACACCTTTGTGACCGATCTCAATTTGTCTGAGAACATACTCGTCATTCATATGCCCTTTGCTTGTCCACTTATGATCTACAAGGATTTATACTTGTCCCACTCATTTTTACTTTATATAATACTGACTCATCATCTGTTTGTCCTCGACACTGAAATCCAAAGGTATGCAGCTGTATATGCATATTGAGGTAATATATTCACATTGTGGTGTTGAAACACAAGTTAAAGGAGTCCCATAATGCTCAATTTCAGGTTCATACTTGTATTTAAGGCATCTATCAGAACATACTGTCTGTCTGAATATACCTGTTATCACCTTTTGTCTGAAACGCTCCGCTTTAGCACCTTCCTTTTTGAGCCCCCCTCTCTAAAAGGCCCTTTTCTACACTTAGTGATTGAGTGTCTTCACGATCTGCTCTCTCTGCGTCACTACGAGGTCGTTGCAGTTCAGGAATGGGAGAAACTCCCTCTGGAGGGAACGTTGGGATTTTAGCCTTTGAAGACCATTTACATGCACAACAACCTATAACAGACTACAGGAAAGGGAACACCCCAAAAGCATAATAGGGCCTCTTTAAACAATTACTTTTTGTATTTAACGTTTTACGAAACTTAGGCATTATTTTATGGTAACTTCTGGTTAATATATACCAACAGACAAAGTGTAGTTACATAAACTCCAAAATCTGTATTTAGGATATGTTCTTCCTCTATTCTGAAAGAACACATGTTACTGGAACAAAATAGCCCAAACAAAAAATGTACCAGTGAATGAAAAACACTGTTTGCCTGTAGCGTTTCTCCTTATTAGTAAAATCACAAACTCGATGGAGCATGTTACAACTTGGCCGTCACTTTATGTATGTGCCATTATAAGACAAATAGGTCTTTTGTAGCCCCAAGTGTATTTTTTAAAAGGGGAAAAGCTGCATGTATTGTATTCAGATCAAAATCATTGCAGTTAATTTTAGATTTATACATAACCACTCTATATGTCAGCTCTTGCAGCCAAGATGTACATCAGTGGTTTTCCTCTTTTTCCTCACTGTTTTAATTCTTTGACAGTGTTGTTCAGGAGTAAAACTCTAATCCAACTTCTGTCAGAGAGTCTAACACTTACCGGCAAAGTAGCTCTCATTTGGATCAGGGATAATCAGTTCTGTCAACATTAATAATGAATTGCTCTCTGTTGCTGTCAGCTCGCTAATGCCAATCTGTCGGTGCACTTGAGTTTTGTTTCTGCTACCAAACTAATTGCATGTGTTGCCCATTCTGCTCTTTGTTTCATTGCTCCATTAATTCAGTGTGATGCATGTGTTGCTTTAGATTTACAGATGGTTTTTAAATGTTACAGTTACTAATTATTCATAATTCAGTAATACTGCTTAATGTATTTCTCTTTTGTACATATTGATACATTGTTTTTATTCTTTATTTTTGTCCTACATTATTTACCATGTATGTGGCCAGGTGTGGAAGCAAAGACAGGCTGTGGCAAACTTAACTTTGAAGTGTAACCATAACAGAATACTTCATGACCACATTTTAATATGGTCGAACTTGAAAACAATTTATATGAATTTCTGTGATTTAAATTTATATTGGTGACATTTTTTAGATAGCAATTTTCGTGCATGAAACAAATTTGTTTCAAAAACGTCATATTCAGACATGGAATATGAAATGGATTACATGAGACTGACAGAGCATAGCCCACATTTGTAGATGTGACTTTTCAACTCGAATTTTGTTGACTTTTCATTTTAGATCCAAAAATGACCCATTGTTAGCAACCTGAATATAGTTTATGATAGTGTAAAAAGTGCAAAGCTTGTGATTAACTTATAAACCATCTATTTTGATTATTGCGTCACTTTAACAGCATAAACATCAACATCATTATTACTTGTAAAAGCAGAAATATCCTTTGGATTTTAGAAATGTCAGAATTTATTTCTATCAACCAAACATTAAATCAGTTAATGGAGAAAATGTTCTGTGGATTAGACAATAATGAAAATATAAAGTTTTTCTTAAAAAAGACCATAAACAAATGCTTTTCATTGAAGAAAAGTTATTGTTTTTCTGCCGTCACCTTTTCTAGTGTGGCCATTGATAAAATACTGTACATCTTTCACACATCACCAGTGATGTTAGCAGGGGTCATCAGGTGTTTCTGGTCATCAAACACCCTCGCCCTGGTGACGCAGTCATGGTTCATCAGACCATGTTTGTGTTCAGATGGCATTAGCTCCTCCCCATGGACCTCCTCTCCTCTCCAACAATCATCCGTCACCTGTACGCGTGAACCCATAATATTTCGTCAGGCCTAGCAGACCCAAAGAGCACCTGAGCGGACAGCCGGACACTATCATTGTTATGTCTAGCACCGTCTGCTGTAACTCTCTAACATTGTAGCTGCAGATACATTAAACATGTGTCATACCCAATCGCTCCCATAAGACTGAGACTGTCTCTGCCTTCATTTAAATAGCCTTGGGACGAACAGCTCTGGCACATTTACAGTAATGCCTGTGAATGTGCAGTGTGCCTTAAAGAGAAAAACTATAAATACATAAATCTCAGCCTGAGCTGTAACTTGAAAGCAAATGAAAATAGGTTTCATTTGGGACGCAGCCCAACCTTTTGTCATCTCCCATCTGGACTGCTGCATCTCCCAGGAGGACCCCGGCTCGTAAACTATTCTGTTCAGCCACTACAGACCATCTGCACCATGCCCTGTCTGCAACCCCCCCTAAGTTCCCTTTGTCGCCTCCCCACGTATTCGACCCCCTCCCTCCCCGCTGGCTGTCGGTGGATGTTCACATCAAATTCAGAATTCTGGTCCTGGCATTCAAGGCTCCTCAGGGACTTTCTGCCGGCTCTGGGCTATCCGCACTCGCCTCCCTGCGCTAAGTCATCGTCTCACCTGGCCTTGTCTCTTCTTTCTACCGCTCCCCAATAATGAAATGTCCTTCCTAATCCAGACGGGACAGCACAATTACATCATTTCCTCCATTGTAGAACAAAAAGGAACTGCCTTTCTTCCCTGAATATCCCAATTCCGCCATATCCTCCGTCTGCATCTGCTGTTTGGAAAACATCCCTCGTTTTGTTTACTTAGACTTTTTAAATCTTTTTTTAGCATTTCTTTATGAAACATCATCACTTCAGGATCGCAGGAATCTTTTTTTTCTGTTTGGCTCGAGATAACAGTATCAGCTAATGGAATAGAAATGTTTCACAAATTCATCTACGACTTTGTTGCACTGCTTCATCAAATGTGATTATCTTTTATGATTATATACAGTTTTTTTCCCACCTCACCACTCACCACCTGACTGCGTATATATCACTTTGTCCTCTGGGACAATAGCAGTGGGCTGAATGGCTGAAATCCTCCTTTCTTAGAAGAGATATTGTTTTAAATTCTCATCACAGTGAAACTAATGTATATAAAACGTGAAAGAAGAAGAGAAGTCCACCATTTAAAGATGAATGCCGTGTTTGACTTTAATCAGTTTGAAGTGAACGTATTCATGCTTCAAGCACCTTAGTAAAGATTAAGCCTTGTGGAGCGCTGGTCATCCCGCAATGTATGCATAAAGCTTGATAGATTCATTTAGAGATTTCATTTCAATTGCTTGTGATTTTTGTTTACATTGCCTATATATCAAGATTTGATGTGTCAGTCCAGGAGAAAGCTTAAGAGTTATATTTCTTTCAACAGCAACATGTCAAACAATACAATGTACTTATCTCTTTGAATAAATCTTCAAGGCATTTTCATTGGGGCAGAAATATGTTGCAGGCCTTCACGTGTGTGTAAACAATGCAGGGATATTTCCCAAGTAGTCAGTGGAAGTAAAACATCCTCAAAGGTACATCTTCTGGATTCTTTGACATCTTGGGTTTTACTCCAATTATCTGCTATATGTGGACACCTCAATGAGAGCTCCTGCATGACGAGTGCTTTGCTTCTCTCTGCTTTTTCTACAATTCAGCTCACATCTGAGCTCATCTGTATACAGCCAGTTCAGGGTGCATCCTGTAAGCGTTAATCATAATTGCTGCAGGTTTGTTTGCCACCAGCTCCGGGCTGCTTGATGATCATTTAGCCGCAACACAGTCCATCAAAAACCCATCTTTTCTCATTTTTCCCTCTCATGACTGAGAGCATTATTGTCAAAACTTCAATCGATTCTGCCACACAATAGAGAAAAAGATGCATTTTTCAAGATAGCTATTTAGATAGAATATAATAGGAAGAGAGTCCTTGTTAGCCACAAGGTAAATGCAGGACATTCTACCATAATTACACTCTTTGAAGATTGATTTACCTTTTTTATCAAACAGAATCCACCATAATAAAAGCTGTTTGTGTCAAATGGGTTTGGGATGACAGACAGGACAACAACAACAACCATTGAGTTTCTGACCCATGCAGTCACGACACTGCAACACTGTAGGCGCACACAATTTAGACGACTGAATCACAGCGCATGGAAAGTTTAACTTGTTGTGACCCGATATCTTAACCTTCCTCGGGAGCGTTGGCCGCACAAGTCTGAGCGGTCGCCGGCCCCGATGACTCGTCTCTTCTGGGTCCTTTTTCACGTTACATTTGCTTTTTTCTATGTCCAGCCATCCATGCGCACATGTATGCGTACATGTATGCGTACATGCATACATCCAACCATCCATAAGGGCTACATTTACTCAGTCACTACTTCCATTTTATTTGTATGGGCTTGTTGTTACAAAAGCACAACATGAATCAAACAGATGCACCGTATGTGCGTCTTGGGGATGCTGTTGTTGCCGTGTGTGTGCGTGTGTGTGTGTGTGTGGTGTGTGTGTGGTGTGTGTGTGTGTGTGTGTGTGTGTGTGTGTGTGTGTGTGTGTGTGTGTGTGTGTGTGTGTGTGTGTGTGTGTGTGTGTGTGTGTGTGTGTGTGTGTGTGTGTGTGTGTGTGTGTGTGTGTGTGTGTGTGTGTGTGTGTGTGTGTGTGTGTGTGTGTGTGTGTGTGTGTGTGTGTGTGTGTGTGTAGTGACATAAGGACACAGAGAGGGCTCAGCTGGGAAGAGCTAATGTATACATTATGTGTGCATGAGAACACCTGGGGGACATACTGCACATACACAGCCTCACTCACATGTATGTGCACAAACTAGGCTCTCTTTCTCTCACACACACTTACACACATGCAGACACGCACACTCTGCTGTGCTGCAGATACAGTTGACTGCTGTTAAAACACATTTTAATCCTTTGATGTTTCAGTTCTTTGACAGTCGTTCTCGGTGTGTGAATCCTTCAGTTCTTTATGAACTTTCTCATGAATCAGTCGACTGAAATGGCAAGTGAAAAGGGCACAGAGTCACTGTTCAAATCCATACATGTTACAGTACATCAGAGATGGATGACACAGATGAGGAATAAACTTTCCATGAAAATACTTTTTTTTAAATGCTGGTAGAGTTTAATAGATTATGAGTATCATTCGATCCAACAATTCAGTTTAGTTCACAGCTCAGAGGTCCTCAGGGAGGGTTGTCAGAAAAGTGTACGGAAAAATCTCTTTCCTTTCTGTACGTCCTGTCTGTGAGGCGGCCGTGGGAATGTACAGTAGGATCGAGAGTTTTGGAAAAGCGCTTCCTAACAGACATAATCAGTAAAACATAGGAAGAGGAGAAAAAGGGACGTGGAGAGACGAGGCGCAGGACAGATGATATTTTAATCATGTGGGTTGGTTGTTCAGCTCTATTTAAAGCCCAGCAGCATCTGCTCAGTACCCCTGTGTTTTCAGGCACAGAGGGGAAACACACTCACAAACTCCATACAAGCTCTCTGTGCCCTATAGCAGTGTTTATGTTTACTCGGCACGATCATAATTCTAGTTTTACAGTTTGATGGAACCACCAGATGTGGAGCGAGCAGGGTTACAGTAACACTCACATATTCCTCGCTTATATAACACTGAAATGTCCTATAATATAAAAGAAATATGACCTTATTGTTTGTTTCTGTGTGTTGCAGTAACAGCACATCATCAGGAGGTTCCTACATTAAGCAGTGCTGCAAAGGTTTCTGCATTGACATTCTGAAGAAGATAGCGAGGAACGTCAAGTTCACTTACGACCTCTACCTGGTCTTAAATGGGAAACACGGCAAGAAGATCAACAATATGTGGAACGGCATGGTTGGAGAGGTGCGTAATACTCGTCTGTCCTTTACTATAAAACCATATCGGTCTGACCTTCCATGTAATCATTGTGAAATACGCTTATCTAGCCAGCAGCTTGCTTAGCAAAACGACTTGAAACTGAGGGAACGTGCTAGCCTCTATCTGTCCAGATTTAACATAAATCCACCAACCATCCCCTCTATAGCTTCCAGTTGTTATGCTAAGCTAGGTTAACCCACTGCACTGCTGTAGTAGCTTAATATATGTAATGGACAAATGTGAAAATGGCATTGACATTGTTATCTAAGTTTTGGCAACAAAGCAAATAAGCTTTCAAGTCAGTGTAGTTGAATTAAAAACATAAGGACCATGTGCCTTCAGGTTGAGGCACATGGTTTAGGATCTACCTTAATGCAGGTATACATAAGAATTTAAAAGTGCATAATAGATACAATAAATACATCATGTAATACAAAAAAAACAATAAGGAAAATATAATAAAGGAAGTTGGGAGAAATTGACTTAAAGAACATTAAAAAGCAGCAGAGGAAGTTAGAAATAAGTAAAGAGGGAACTCAATAAAAGCCACGGGCAGATTGAACTAAAAGGAAGTGAAGAAATATGGGTCCTCAAATTAGATTTAAAATATTTAATGGTGGAACAGAACTCAAGCCGTATTTGTCTTGTTAGGAATAGTCCTTCCTTCAGTCGGACTCGTCGTGGAATAATTATTAAGTATAATGATTGAAGGTGTCTCTAAAGGTTTTTCTATATATCATTTATTGTATGTCAACAAATACCATTAAACCTCCTACTCTGTGTTTTGCATATAGATTCAAATGTATGTATTCCTACTTGGGAAGTAGTGGGTTGTTGATAACAAGACACTGTATCAGGCTTAAGATACAGAAATGATATTTGTAAAAGAAGTGATTCTTTGCTGGTTTGGGTCTTTCAATGGGATTTGTTGACTAAAGAATATGGAGTACTGCTATTAAGTGTTATAATCATGGTTGCACCAACACATCTTAACAAACAGGACTGAATGCATCACTTTTAAAATGATTCATAGATCATTAATAGATATTGTGATACTAGATACAAACATATCAAATATAATGTTTTCCTATGCTTTCTGATCATGTGTTTCTGCTATAGGAGTAGAAAAAGATTTTGAATACAACCACTTGTGAATCACCCAAAAATGCTAAATTGTTATCATTAAATCCCACTGTATTATGCATTATTCATGTCATTTATATTTCCAATGCTGCTTCCCTTTGGGGCTTTAAAATCCATACCATCAACTATTTAAGTGTGCAGACGATAAAGCTCTTCGAGGATACCTTGAGGCTCAGTTGATCATTATCATTTATCTTTTCTAAAAATTATTTATTCAATCACAGATGAAATGCAAGGCTTTTTAAAGTAAAATCCCCAAAGGTCGAGATTAAACACATAACATGTCCGATAATGGAAACTCAGAGTTTGATCCATAGTTGTAATGCCTTCAGGAGAAGACGGCTATGAGACTTAGACAATTAAATCTGAAGACGAAACATAACATGTCACTGCATCGTAGAGATGACGTCTTTATGTGCAGAATCTCCATCTGTCAGAAAACATCCAGACACCAGGAAATGGTAGCACAACGAGAAAAGACAGCTGTATTTTTATTTTTCAGCCAAAAGTGCCCTCCAACTGAAGCTGACATTCTGAGCTTATACCCTCAGTCACTGTGATATTTCACGTCCCAAAATAAAAAAGGAGGACCATATCTGAGACAAATGATGTCCAAATGTTCACGGAGCTCACTTTATTTATTGTTCTGTCAGTGAGTCCTGCACGCAATGCTACCTTTCTATCTTCTGTCTACCAGGTGGTGTACAAGAAGGCGATAATGGCGGTCGGTTCGTTGACTATCAATGAGGAGAGGTCAGTGGCTATTGACTTCTCCGTGCCCTTTGTGGAGACTGGCATCAGCGTCATGGTGTCACGTAGCAACGGGACCGTCTCTCCTTCGGCCTTCCTCGGTAAATCTTTTATTTTTGTCCTCCTTAACTATACATGCTTTCTTCTTCATGTTTTCCTCCACTTGTCCGCAAGTGTGCCGACAACTGGGAGCAGAAAAACAGAGGAAGGGGTGCTTACATGTTGGCAAAATCCTACACATAAAATGTAACATTTTATTCAGACAGTATACAGTATGCTGGCCAAATTCCACTTGTACTCTGACTTTATCTGGGCCTCAACACCCTGAGCACATTATGTCTAGCAGAGCGCAGGAAGCAGTGTGCCAGATGTTTTTTGAAAAGTCAGCTTCAAACAAAGCATTCTTGATACTATCCTCTCCTCCTCCCATCCTCTCTCCTCCTCCAGTTGTTCAGATGACTAGAAACTAGAGCGCTCTTCTGTGCTGGCCTAATGTCTTGTATTGTCATTGGAGCGAGACGAGGAGCGAGGGGATGTATTGGACCATGTGTGTGTTGGTCCCTGTGTATCAAGCCATGTGTTAGCATGCATGTGTGTGTGTGTGTGTGTGTGTGTGTGTGTGTGTGTGTGTGTGTGTGTGTGTGTGTGTGTGTGTGTGTGTGTGTGTGTGTGTGTGTGTGTGTGTGTGGTGTGTGTGTGTGTGTGTGTGTGTGTGTGTGTGTGTGTGTGTGTGTGTGTGTGTGTGTGTGTGTGTGTGTGTGTGTGTGTGTGTAAGGGAGGGGAGGGGAGGGAGAAAAAATGTGTGTTATACTGCACGATTATATTAGGTCTTTGTGTATTGAATCAGGGGTGTGTAGAGAATGGATGTGCTCTGGCCATATGTATATTAAGGGGTGAATGCTTTGTGAGTGTATTTATATGAAAGCACATTGTATGCATGTGTGTGTGAGTGTGTGTTGAGCCGGGGCCAGGGTATCAGTGACGGTTCAGTATCTCTCGCACTCATATTTGAGGCACCTCAGTGCACAATCTCTCAGGGTTGGCTAACCCTGGCAGTCACATACTTAGACATACAGTCACACACATACACACACACACACCATAAACACACCACACACACACACACACACATTTTGTCTGGGTTCAGCGTCTCTGACACTCACCCCGCTCTCTGAACTCCTGCCCTGCTCTTCACCAAACACATTCAGACTCACACTCTCACACACACACATGCCCAAATCACACATAGACCACGTACACATGCCCGCAGCAGGACACATCAGATCACTCAGAGTTTGATTCTTCTCTCTCACCCTCTCTCTCTCTCTCTCTCTCCCCTTCCTCTACGATCTCCCCCGCCCCAGGCCTCTCCCTATAATGAGAAATATGGAAATGTGCTCCGTCAAACTCTCTGTGACTAACTCTCCCTCTCCTCCCATCCGCCCTCCCTCACTCCGTCTGTCTCCCTTCCTCCCTTCCTCCCTTCCTCCCTTCCTCCCTTCTCTGTGTCTTTCCTATTATCTTTTCCTCGCCTTTCTCCCACTTGTGCCTGTTCTCTTTTTTTGAGTGTCTTTTGTTTTTCCAAGTTTGTCACCTCTTTCTCTCCGTCCCTCACTTTTTTATGCATCTGCACTACAGTGCATCATGAACTTGATTCAACTTTAACTCTCTCTCCCCCCCACCCTCTCTCCCCCTCTCAGAGCCCTTCAGTGCATCCGTTTGGGTGATGATGTTTGTGATGCTGCTTCTTGTAACAGCCATCGCCGTCTTCCTCTTTGAGTTTGTCAGTCCGCTGGGCTTCAACCGCAACTTGGCCCAAGGCAAAGGTAAGCGTACACACACAATTAGAAATATCAAACCGATCGTTTCTCCCAGGAGCGAGAAGCACAGATCCAAGCTTCCCCTGGAGCGAAATAAGTGACCTATTGTTACCCAGACTTTAGACGGTTCACTCGATGTAAGCATTAACAGTTCTCTCCTAAAGCTAGGCACATCATCAGAAAGCAGCTCCTCAAGCTGCCCTGCTGGCTCAGAATAATGCTATAAAACTACATTTTAGATTAATTCATCAGTTAAAGGTCCCATGTCATGGCCATTTCTACTGATCATAATTCCATTGTTGAGGTTAACTAAAATAGATTTATACTGTGCAATTTTCCAAACTCACATTGGTTTCTCATACAGCATGTGTATTCACTGGTACTGTATTCATTCCCCCCCCCCCCCCCCCCGTGCACACACAAACACTCACAGCCGAAGTAAAAACAATAAGTGTGGCTTGATATTGAGTAAGAAAAAGGTTTATAACGCTGTGAGAATGGGTCTGCGGAGAGCATTTCTCCATTGTGGTAGATACCTGTTTGTTTTAAACATCATAAATACACAAACAACAATGAATACTTGCAGGTTGTGTACCCGAATCTCCCGCTGGTCCAAACAAAGTAGGAACAGCATCGTTCTTCAGTGCCCTACGCTGTACATATCCGGCATTAATCGCTGAAAGGTTTGGGAAGCTTTGTTTCGTGAAAGGCTGGCAGAGGGTGCGGCCATAGCTCTGGGCGTGGCTACTGGGTATCCCTACGTAGCGATACCCAGGAAGTAAATGAGAAATCTCCAAAGAGGCGTTTTGGGGAGGTATTTTCTGTGTTAGAGTTGTACTCGCTACAGGGTGTACTTTGAGGGTTTTTGACTCTGCAGACCGTTTACATGCATAAAAACCTTCATAACACACAAGGGGACGGGTAATAACCGGAAAAGCATGACATGGGACCTTTAAATTACCTAAAGGCCGATCTAGGTGTTGCAATGGAATCGTGTTTTGCTTAGATTTTGTATTTCTAGCCCACCTGTACATATTACAGTAAAACTCAATGTGTTTAGTTGGCTAATTTTTTTATCTTACACTCAATGAACAACACATTCCCAAATAAAAAACAGTTTTATAAGTATAATCTGTTTCATCTCGAGGAGAAGAAAGTAACTTTAAAATAAAGGTTAAATATATTTTGGAAATAGACTAATTGGCTTCTGATAAATATTCCTAACACTCTGATGTTTATTTGCTAAATGTGAGGAACTTCTTGGAGTCCTGTTGTCACTGTGAGGTTGCCAACCTTCACTGACTGTGAAAATGAGCCAATTGGCGGCTGTCTTTCGCTAAATATTTACCAACATAACTACGAATTCCTTAAGATTTGTTGCTGCGGTACAACTCTGCAATCACAACTCTCTTTTCTCTTCACCAACACTTTCTATCGGTTTTAATTTTATTTAAGTACAATTGAGTGACTGTTGGACCTCTTCAGTTGCAGTGTGTGGTGTGTTTCAGGTGCAAATTACTTCACGAGTAGCAGGTCTAAATCTCTTAAGCTTATTTTTAATCGTTTTTTTTCTTTTCACGATACGATTTGAGTCTGAAAAATTATCCTTTTAAATCTCCTTGTTCAGTGGTTTACTTTGTGGATTTGACTTGCTAGAAAGGTCAATATCTTGGTTTATAAATGTTGGTCTTTATCAATTAATCATGGTCATAAACCCAATTTAATGTCAGTCGTCTGCAATGACTGTTGCAAAATGTGTGAGCTGCAGGTGTAAAAAAGGAAAGCCATTATTGCTGTCACATTAATTTTACAATGTCACCCCTCCGGAGGAAGCGTGATGCCCTCAAACTGGATCATAAACTCTTTGTTTAACTTCCCTTTTTGGACGGTCTCATTGCTTGCTGTTAAATAGATGATGGCTATGGTATGATGATTTGCAAAAATGATGGTCTTGGTAATGAATGACTAAGGGTTGTTTTAGCTACTGGATGGCAGGAAGGTAGGAAAATATAACAATTACTATTTTAATTTAAACTTGTAATACATTACCTGGCTTGCTGTTTTTTTAACCCCAAAATAAGCCTCATATTATCAGAAACGTTGTGACCCTAAGGTTGGAGACTCTTCAACCTGATTTGGTGTTTTTTCGCTACGTAGTATTTTTTACACTCCGTCTTTTTTAAATGTCTCCTTCTGCTTCACTTCCTCTCTCCGTCAGACCCACATGGTCCATCCTTCACCATCGGTAAGGCCGTCTGGCTGCTGTGGGGTCTGGTGTTTAACAACTCCGTGCCTGTGCAGAACCCAAAGGGCACAACCAGCAAAGTAATCGTCTCAGTGTGGGCCTTCTTCGCTGTCATCTTCCTGGCCTCCTACACTGCCAACCTGGCTGCCTTCATGATCCAGGAAGAGTTTGTGGACCAAGTGACTGGACTGTCTGACAAGAAGGTGCGATCACACACACACACACACACACACACAGAAGAAACTAAACACAGTCACAGTCAGGGTTGCTCTTGTAATGGATGCCAGCCCCGAGGCCAGACAGGGCTCTCCAGTGAACGCCCTTGGCTTCAACAGCCCTAACCCTCTGGCCGTAGCTGTCACCGCACAGCACTGCCAGCTCAGGCTGCACATGGGCTGCATGGATCAAAGACGTATGTGTGTGTGTTTGTGTTTGGATGTGTGTGTGTATGTTTGCCGAAGCTGGCAGTGTCAGCAGAACCCCAGCCAGTCTTACGCTAGACTGGACACATGATGATGATGACTGATGAGTCCACTCCACTGTCTCTCCTGCCTCCTCTCTCCTCTGTCTCCTCTCGTCACTCTCCTTCCTCCTCTCTCCTCTTCCTCTCTTTTAGTTGAACTCCCTCTCTTTCTTAGACTCTCTTTATTCTCGTACTTTTCTCAAACTTCTTGCTGTTTTTCTCCTCCTCTCTTTTAGCTTCATTGTTTCTTCTTTTGTGTTCCTTCTGTCAATTTCAGCGTTAAAGTATTTTTTCTACCATTGTCTTTATTTATTTTTCACATTGGACGACAACACAACAACTAAAAAAAACTTCACGACGATGATAAAACTATGAATTATAGAAATTAAATTACAAGTGAATGCAATTAATACAAATAAAATACACAAATGTTTTTGTCTCAAATTAAACTTGTCCCTTTTTTTCCTTATTTCTCTCCCTGCAGTTCCAGAGTCCGTATTCCTATTCGCCTCCATTTCGCTTCGGGACGGTTCCTAACGGCAGCACCGAGCGCAACATCAGGAAGAACTATCCCAATATGCATCAATACATGACCAAATACCATCAGACTGGCGTTGTGGATGCGCTGGTCAGCCTCAAGACTGGGTACTGTGAACTTGTCAATTCAACCTATGTGAAGTTGAGCTTTATTATACCTGAAAGGCTTATTCTGTTTACAGACCGCTAGTATTCATAAGATCATGTGAAAACAAACAAAAAAAATACATTGCATCACACCGAAACTCAGCCCCATGGGGCCCGACTTTATCTCATGCTAAAATGCTGCAGAAACTATGCTCAGTGTTTCTGTCAGCCCCTGTAAAAAGCAGACGCTGCCTGCAAGTGCTCATTATTGAGTCTGTTGCTGCTGGAAAGAGGGAGCTGCCAAAACAGGGAGAGAGTAATTTGTTCTGGAGTTTCCTTTATTCTCCCTCCTAAACATGCACTAATGGAAGGATGGCTGCAGTGCTTTTATTTGTTCATTAGTTTTGTGTGCTTTGATCTTTGGGGTATTTTCCTCAAATATAATTGTACTTTTTTGCTTTTCCCTCTCTGCAATTACTTCATTGATACTGCCTTTTCAAGTAGATTATGTTTTTTCTCATACCTTATACATTAGGCTTTGTTTATACAACATCAAAACTGTATAATGAATGTGTTCAGCAGAATAATCAGCGTTTAATTCAATTCTTTAGCAAAATTGTTTAGGCTGAAAAAAACTTTAACACTTTAGAGCTCTTTTTAAAGTCATGCAATAGGCAGTGATACATTTAAAGCACTCTTCACTTTAATGAATCTGCAGCGTTTTGTTTTCAGATGCTCGATGCGCTTTAAATGACTTTTTCTGTGCATATTCGCAAAACAGATACTCAATGACTGCATTTAACATTATGCCCTTTGGTGAACAGTTTAATTCAACGTGTTTAATATTAATGAATAAATCTCTAACATGGAGAGTCCCAAGGGGGTTGATTAGCACTGGGGTGTATTCATTAGGTTATATGTACACTAAGACTTGTTTTTGCTGATAAATAAGTTATAAAAAGAGATCTGCAGCTCGTGTTACATTTTGTTTGGTTAATGGTCATTCCTCATGCTGGTGTTTTTGCTGAGCTCAGAGGTTACATTCCCACACAGGAGGACTGTTGAGTCGGACACAAATGATGGCTCCTTAGCTTGAATTAAATTTGTCAAAATGATGACAAAACTTGCAAGTAAAAGATTATCTCTCAGTGTGAAACAAAGACATCATCGTGCGTGTAAATATTAACTGCAGCAGCGTGCAGGCCGGACAGTAGTCTGTGCCCATGATCCATCATCTGATCTGAATGAGAATTTCGGCTCCAAGAGGACGCAGTTGTTGTGATTAATCCTATGGGTTTGTTTATGGATCTAATGAACATTGCTACTGGCACCACAATGTGTACATAAGACTCAGCAGTGTTGGGGTCTTTACTACTGAATCCTGATGGATCACATTTCACATTGTCTTGTTTTAAAAATACATTGTGGTTTGTTTGCTAAGCTAACTGTATCCTGGCTCATGTTTCACATTCATTAGACAGACATAAGAGAGCTTTCAACCCTCTTTAACTCTTAGCAATAAAGCAAATGTGTCAGAGATAAGACAGCGCCAGCATTGTCCTCATTACAAAAGAAAATGTGAAATGTTCAGGACAAGCAGTTCATTCAGAATTGATGTCCTCTCCCCAGATGTAGCTAAATATGGTTTTATATAAGCCTGAATAATGTAGGCAACAATATGCACTTTATCTAAGATGAGAGAAGAAATGTTAAAAAAAATGTTGCTGCAGAAATATTTAAATGTTCTGTTCTTTCATTTTAATAATGTAATGACCCCTCAGATGAATCATCCAAACGCGGGTGCATGTAGTAAATCCAGAATGTGTGGTTCTCTTACAGAAAGCTGGATGCTTTCATTTACGACGCTGCGGTGCTGAACTACATGGCGGGCAGAGACGACGGCTGTAAGCTTGTCACCATCGGCAGCGGTTACATCTTCGCCACCACGGGTTATGGTATCGCCTTACAGAAAGGATCCTACTGGAAACGCCTGGTTGATCTGGCCATACTGGGCATCATAGGAGATGGTGAGGCGCCCGCACATATCCTCATTCTGCAGCAGATCAGTCACACTGCATTGAAGTTTAAGTTTCTCAGATGTTCCCAGCCTTTAGTATTATTACAGTTGTGCCAATGCTCAGCTTTCCCTCCTCCCTTACCCTCCCCCAACACTCTCTCTCTCCTCCCTCCTTCTGTCAGAAAGCTATCAGGGGCTAGTCTTAACACACCATTTCATCATCATTACTCCGTGTGTGTGTGTGTGTGTCCTGTAATGTTTACTCCTAATAATAAGCTGTGAGATGGTGTGAATGCAAGAAGGAGAATGAGCCAGACAGAAACCAAATTGCTGAAACCACTAAAGCGCCTCGATTCACACCCGTCCTTTTTATTCAGGGCAAACGCCTGCGTGCCCATGCGACACACAGAAACACTCAATCTGATAAAATTCCTCCCATCTTTGCTTATCACTCCATCACTATCAATTCTCTCTCCTTCTTTCTACAAACCCCTTTTCTCACTCCACCTCCTGTCTCCTTTCCATTACCATCTATTTACCACTTCACTTCTCTCACCTCCTCGCTTTTCCACTCCATCTTTCTTCGTAATGATACGCACTTTTCCCCCCAACACCTTTCTGTTTCCCTCTACCACCCATCCATTCCCTCTTTTTCTCAACCACTATATTTGTCTTTTCTTTTCTTCCTCTGCTGCATTCTTAAACTTTGACTTTACCACCTTTCCCACAGGTGAGATGGAAGAGCTGGAGGCGCAGTGGCTGACTGGGATCTGCCACAGTGAGAAGAACGAGGTGATGTCCAGCCAGCTGGATGTAGACAACATGGCGGGTGTCTTCTACATGCTGGCCACAGCCATGGGCCTCTCCATCCTCACTTTTATTTCTGAACACCTTTTCTACTGGAGACTGAGATACTGCTTCACTGGCGTCTGCACTGGGAGGCCGGGTCTGCTCTTCACTATCAGCAGGGTGAGGAGAGGGAAAAGTTTAATTTCCCACTGCAGGAACATCGTCCAGTTCTTGCCCCATCTGCTTCTGAGGCAGTACCCTCAGATGTTGCTCTCTTACTGATCAAACACCATCCTCCAGAGTGCAGCTGATGTACAGCATTGATTCGGGCTGTAAGAAAGCACTGGTTGTTGCAACATCAATATCAGGACTCGGGTTGAGAATTTTTTGTAACGTTATTGACAGTTTTAAACACTAAATCTGACTCGCAGACTACTTTAAAAGAGTATGAAATAAAGCAGGGAACAGAACAACTGCAAGAGGAACAAAACCTCACTGTATTTTCAAATTGTTTCAATGCGGTTACATACTGAGGCAGAAATACAACAGACCAGCACATTATTGCGACTTTGAAGGCAGCCGCGTAGCCTTTGTGGTGTTTAACAACATCCATTCAAACATCACAGTAAATTACATAAATGATTACTCTGTTGTCTGTCTTGTTGTGTGCAAAAATTGCATCTCGAACAAAGCAGTCTAATTTGCCTAATCTTCACAGTTCTTCAGACGCAAAGGAAACGCACATAAAGGACCTTTAGTCGTGTGAATGCCTGAAATGTGTCTGAAAGTGATTGTGTGTGTTTGTGTCTTTGACGCACACACAATAGTTACTGTTAATATTAAGAAGGAGTCTGGGTATGTATGTGTGTGATAAACGAGAAAAGAGGAGGATATTGTGATTATGGAGCCCAGCTGAGGAAGAGATGGATTTACTGCTGTGCATATGGATGACAGGAGAGAGGAATCAAGCTATAAGAGGATGATGTGAACACACACTCATACAGTACTATAGACACACACACACAGAGCTTGCTCTCTCTCAGCCACACACATAAGTCTGTTCTAAAAAAGTTTTTAAAAATGGTAATACATGTGCAGGTGCTGCGAGGTGAGGGACGGACTTTACCGCTCAGGGATACAGAGAGATGGCCGTGCACACATTTAAACCTAAATATTCACACACACAAAACAAAAATGGGCACATTCAGTCAGACCGTTCTTTCATTATTCATGTCCCATGTCTCTGTGTGAGGCAGGGCTTTTATTCCAGATGAGCAGCATTTCACACATTAAATGTTTTACAAAAAGACTGTCTGTGTGTAACTGTGTGTGTGTTAGAGCGGCGATGCTGGAGGTTAAGTGGCTCCAGGAAGAACATCTCCTTGCACTCAAAGGCCCCCTCCAGTGACATCATCACCTAAATGTAATTTTCTAGGCGCCTCTGAAAGCAGTTAATCTTAAAAAGTGGCGATTATCTCTACTTGCCACATTACAAAACAAAATGAGGTTAGGGTTTGCAGTAAAGGCGCAAAGAGAATAGGATGCAGAGGTCTTTCTTAATTTACCGTGTTAGGAAACTACTCTTGTGCATGTTTGAACTCTTTCTCTTGTGAAGTCAATGGGTTGGGAATTAACCATTTTATTATCTCTCTCTTCCCTGCCTCTCCTTTCCCTTTTTTTCTTTCTTTTTGTTTTCTCTTCTCTCCTTCTCTCAGGGTATATGGAGCTGCATCCATGGAGTTCATATTGATATGAAGAAGAAGAATCCTGAACTGGATTTCAGTCCTCAAGCCAACATGCTGCATCTGCTCAAGTCTGCCAAGTCCATGGCTTTGTCTTCTCCTAAACGCAACGCTGTGCTCTTGCAGCCCAACATCCTAGATGTGATGTCGGGGAAAGGTACTATAACACTTGTACACCTCACAGCATATAGTGTACATTTATTTTGTGTATTTTACCTCCTCACAGAGCAGGTAGACATGGCACCATTGCTCACACGTACAGAGGTCACCCTGCCTTTCCTAAACAGTCTACGTATGCATATCTAAAGGTGACTCCTTTCACCTTGTTGTGTAATCGCATCGACTTTCATCTAAAGGCTGGCCTCATGATTAGAAACACATTAGATGGCACACAAACAGCGTGCCAGGGATAGCCAGTAGATAATGTATCAAACGGCTGAGCATCCATCTATTGTATCTGCTGTCTGAGGTGCATCTCTCCTTGTCTCCTAGGTAACTCTCTCCATCTGCCCCCGAAGGGTCCTGGTCTCTATAGCAACGCCGCTGGTCCGCACAGTTTCTTGTCATTGTCCGGGCGACATAAAAACCTTCTTAACAATGCTGCGCCGTTCCCTGTGCAACAGAAAACCCCCGCTCTTCAGACGAGCCCCAACAAGCCCCAGCTGTCAATCACAAATGACAACGGCAAGACCCGCCCCATCGGGCTGGCCCTCGCTGCCGTCCCACAGGGCTCAAAACCTCGAGCCCTGTGGAAGAAAAGTGTGGAGACGTTGAAAACGCAGCCGACTGTCGTATCTCCAGGCCCAAGCCCCACCCCGGCCGCTGGACCCGGACCCCCACAGATGAAGAGCCAGCGCTACCTGCCTGAAGAGCCGCCACACTCTGACATCTCCGAGTGCTCCAGCCGGCCGCCATCACACAAAGATTCTGATTCGATGGCGGCCAGAGGCGGATTCAAGCCTATTAATCAGCTGAGGAAGAGAGGAGGGGTAGGAGCAGGAGGGGGAAGCGGGGGCGGAGGATCAAAGATCTACTCCATTGACTCAGACCAGGCCAGTCTGCAGTCAGCTCCCCCCTACCAGCGAGACAGCCAGGGGGGAGGTGATGACCACACTTACCCCCCTGACCTGTTTCCACCTGACAGCACATACTCACACACTCACACGCTCTCCCACCAGGCGGATGCGCCCATCTTGCAGCTGAGTGCCAGCCTACTGCACCACAGTCACAGCGCGGAGGCCGACCTGCACTCCCTGAAGGACAAGAAATACAGCACCTACACACACAGCAGGTATCTATCCAGCAGAAAAACACCATGTTTCATGCTGTTACAGGTTTTTTTTTTTGTGTATAATCCGTGTTATCCTCTCTCCCTGTAGCTCGAAGGACAAAACTGGAAGTTCATTTGAAGCTCCGGGCGGGGGTCAGGGGTCACAGAGCGTCAGACCCGGACACTGTCGCTCCTGCCTGACCAAGCTGAGCAGTTACTCCGGCCTTTACACCGTCCGCTCCCCGGGGGCTCGCTGTGACGCCTGTGCCCACCTGGGAAACCTTTACGACATCAGTGAAGACCACCTGCACTCGCACTACTCCCACACACACACTCACCCACACAGCGGGGACATGTTTACACACTATCTTCCCCAGAGCGAGTTGGGCCTGGTGGGCGAAGGGGACGGGCTCGTAAGCCACTTTGAGCCCACCCCTTCCTCCCCGTCACCTCTCTCCACCTCTTTGTCGGCCCAGCACCTTCAGCTGAGTCGCCAGCACTCCTATGAGAACGTGCTTCCGGACGACGTTCCCGAGCGGCAGTCGCAGCTGCACACCCACCTGCGGGGGCTGAGCCTGCCCGACAGAGACAGGGAGCGGGAGCGGGAGCGGGAGCTGGACGAGGGGGCCTACGCTAACGTCCTCACCATGCGCTCTGACCGTCCCTTCAGCAGCCGCAGCCCGCCCTCTCCGTCCCCCTCCCACCACCACAGCCTCGACACCCCTCTACCGCTCCCCCGGCGCTCCAAGAGTCTCTTCCCCGATCGGCCCTCTCACAACCCTTTCCTCCAGTCAGCGCCTGGCACCACACAACGAGAGCCCTCCCCGCAGTCTGTCACACGCATGCCGCAGAGAAGCTCAGCCCACGAGCTCTATAAGCAGCGAATGCCCCTGTCGCTTACCCTCGGTAACCATGGCAGCCATCACAACAACCAGTATGGCGGCCTTGTCGACCAACAGGTGTTCTACCCTCAACAGGAGCCCCCCGTGGTGGCCTACATGGTCCCACCTGCCGCCTCTCAGCCAATGAGCTATGTGACAGCGCCGCGAGCCTCGAGCGCCGGCGACAACCGGCCCCGGCTCTACCGCCGCATGCCGAGCATCGAGTCTGATGTCTGAGACTCGCACGCAACACACTTATCTTACCGAAACACACTGACACACACGCATGCAAGACAGAGTTGTGTGTGACAGGACCAGGCAGCTCTGATTCTAAGCGCATACACGGAAACACACACACACACACAGGTGAAAGATGGGAAGGGAAGGACTAAAGGTTAATGGTAATGCTGAGTAAATAAATAAATCATTGTTTCTTTATCACTACCCTCTATAGGGCAGGGTTAGGGCCACAGGGACACCTGGAGGCACAATACAAGATGAAGAGTGTGTGTGTGTGAGTGTCAGTGTGTGCACTAGCCTCAAGCTGTGGGCAACAAGGCACAAACTGACAATATGTCCGACAAGACGGATCGAATCCCTGGTGAAATAAAAGAGACACTGTGTACGGAGTTTTAACGGCGACAGTGGGATCTGATGGAAGAACAACACGTGTGTTTGGAAGACGAGCCGACTTGTCCCGCCCTCTCACTAGCCTCTTAGAGATGAAGAGGACTGACAGAAAACCCCTTTCTTTCTGAGAACACACACACACACACACACATATTACAGTTAAACACACCCGCCTCTCTCCAGGTCTCTCCTCTTGCACTATGATTTCTACAGTCAACCCGTATGTTGTCTGAGCCTCCAAACTGCACTGCCAGCATGGCTTAAAGAGTAGTAACCTACACTAGAGTAATCCTTGACTTGAATGGAAATTACTTTCTTAGTAATAGACTGGGCGGGTCAGGGCACAGGTCTGAGAAGCGTGGTGGCTCCTGCCCGCAGATGTACAAACACTCGAACATACACACACACACTGTGTCCGTTTTTAAAGGGGAGCGGAGCAAAAACTACCGACTGTTTCCCTGTAACTGTTGATGTCAGTTAATTGAACATTCCAAAAAGTGGACCAAACATGGCCGCCGGTAAAAGCCTATCAGGAAGAAAGTGTGTGTTCTAGTGTTTCTAGATCTAAAGACATACAGTATAGCATCCTTGCTTCCTTAGCTAGCCTTCAGGTCATACTGCATGCTTCCTACTGCCCTGTGTTACAGTTAAACTCCTATACAGGGTCATATATGCACACACACACAAACACACATATATGCACATACACACACATGCACATACGCAGTAGTCTAGGATAGTAGATTAGGGTGGGTGTGTGTGTCGAAGCTATGAGATAGCTTCTCTTTGTGCACTTTGTAGATTTTATACCCTGCCACCTAACACGGACGTTTGACCAAAAACACTTTTGTACTGAAAAATATGAATATTCTCAATCATTCGCTGGATAGATGTTTTCTTTTTTCTCTTATTTCTCTTTGACATTGGGTTTTAGGGCACTGTTAAGTTTCCATTGTAAGGTCCGAAGTATAACAGTGTTAGATAAATGGGTACAGCATCATACAGTATACACAACTACACATTTGTATCTTTCTTATCTTTTTTTTTTACTTTTACAGTGCTCATCTGCCCCTTACCAGCCTTCCCTCAACAGCTTTTTGTTTAATCTCTTATTTATTCATTTTTTATCATTCCCTGCTTCCTTCTATTATAGAGTAGATTGAGTATCAGAAGAATAAAAGTTCAGTCGTGGTGTTTAAATCTCAGCATATTGTTGGAAATCACAATATTAGTAGTAGTCGCTAGAATTCCTCAAATCCCACACTGGCTCTCATAGGATACAGTACTTTTATTCTACTACATTTGTTATGTTGAATTAAAGAACTGTAGGCCCATTTTCATGTGTCAATAGTGAATTTAGAGGCCGAGAGCATCACTGTTGCAGATTTACTCATCAAATGAATACTCCTGGACAAGCGTCAGAGTAGCTGGTACTTGTGTGGCTCTCTGTTGGCGAGAACACAGCGCTGTGTTTCAGCTGAGAGTCACGTGGCAAAGCAGAGAGTTTGCAAAGTGACTCGTTACAGAGGCAACACTCACTCATATACACACACACACATATGCACACACTCGACGAGCTAGCAATGTGTGTATGAGTGTTCCAGAAATCCATAATCTACTGAGTAAGGGCATTGATTTTCGAGCACACGGATTTTGATGGAAAAAATACTTGATATCCCATTAGCTGAGCGTCTGTCTCTATTATCTTTCTGCTCTATTCTCTTTTCTCTCCCCCCTCTCTCTTTATCTCTCTTTCTCTCTCTCTCTTTCTCTCTCTCTCTCACACACACACATAAACACATTTATATATATCGGCTGTGAAGAATGCAAGACCGTTTTTAACAAAAAAACGCACCTTTTCAACAGTGAACGCTGCCCCTCTTTTTGGTAATCTTAACAGGTTTGGTGTGTGAGTTATATGCACAATATCAGGTTGCAATATTATACTTCTGTACAGAGAAATCTTTGTTTTAAATGTTAGAAACTGATTTTCATTTGTTTGATTTGAATGGTATTAAGTGTTGAATTCATTTCAATAACGACGTGGCTTTTAATTCTGCTTCTTTAGGAAAAAAAAAAAGGAAAAAAAGACTGGCATGTTTTAGATTCTTGTGTGATTTATTTTTCCTCTGGTGTGTTGTTGGTTGGGACCTCACTGTACAGTCCTCACTGCTGGGTTAACATGCAGGCTAGTTAACTATCACACCAGTTAACTATAGCAACACGTAGCTGGGTCTCTTATCTGAATCACACTCAATGAATAATGATAGTCCAGCCTGTGTGGTTATAATATAAAACCCCCTCCCACCCACATAGTTCTCTTCCTCTACGAGTCTGTGCTGTTTCACCTCTGAGTGTGAGCGAGTGTGTGTGTATGTGTTTTACACTGCGCAGGCATTTATATAAGACAGAGGATATGCGTATCAAGAGGTTGTTTGTGGTGGATGTGTGTTTTTGGCGTGTGTATACTTTTCCGTACTCTCTTCGGTTTCGTCCCACACATAACATTTGACCTGGCTCTTACTCATATAAATCAAATACAGTTTTACACACACACATACAAACACACACACATGTTGCGTCTGTACTAATGTGGTTAAGAGAACATGTAATAAGATGTGTACGTCCTCCACCATCACACAGATTTTTAAACTAATTTCTTTTTTTTTTTAAATTGCATGACGTGCTTGTGTTTTTGGTGGTACCTATTTTGCTGCAACACCTGAGTTCTCCCTGAGTTGACCTAACGGGGCTACATGTACCAACGTTCCCCTCCATCCTGGTTAGTGCACCTCAACATGAGTGGAGCCCAGGATCCTTCCACAGTCGCACGTCGCACCCCCCCCCCCCTCGCCTGCGATGTCACCAACTTTGGGCCCATCTGCCTCCTGTACAACGCTGTAAAGGAACATGTGGAAAACGTCGGTCCCGGTACAGTTCTCAGTTTGGTGGAGGTGCACACATATTATATACAGTACCGGGTGGAAGGGTTGCGTTTGTGTGTAGTCCTCCAGGTCTCCCTGCCGTGTATCTCACTTGTGTATAAGTTCAGGGGTTTCTAAGCTACTAGTTGTGTTGTAAATAATACCTTGTCACTCAGTACCTCTGTACAATCTGTAAATAAGTAAAGGTTACATTTTTCTACTTGTCTGGGTCTTGTTGATTAATCTATCTATCTATATGTCTGTCTGTCTGTCTGTCTGTCTGTCTGTCTGTCTGTCTGTCTGTTTTCCTGCCCAGCAGTGCCTACATGTACCATGATGCATTGCATGCAGGCTTCTGACACCTGGAGGGTTCCCGCTGGCCATTCATGCAGCTGAAACCTAAACCCCTTGCCTGCCACATTTCTTCTGCCGTACAATCTGGCTGAAATAAAGACACCTGACTATCAGTCAGCCAAAATGAGCTAAAATCTATCCTCGTCCATCACATCCTCTGCACCTATATTTAAAGATGAAAACATTTTGGAGCTAGTTTTCATAACTGGAAAAGAGAGTGAGAAAGGTCTGGTGTTGAGAGCATGAACTGGCTTCCCAGAGGCGGAGAATACAAATCCAAGCTAAAAATGTAGGGAGGAAAAAATGATTTTGCAGCTGAGCTGAGCTTTCTCACTCAAAATAGCACTGAGGGATTGATTTTTTTTTATTGAATACATTTACCATTAAAACTGATTAGACATCCACATAAAAGGTGGTGAATATGTCCTTTAATGTTTAATAATACAGATATGAATGCTTTTAGGATCAGTCATTGGAGGATGCAATATCAAGCTTAAGTTGGATATCTTATTTTAGTATAACACACAAACCACAAGTCGTAGTTTTTACAGATTAAAAGAACAGACATGACCTTGATTGGTGATTGCCGAGCTTCAGAGATATATGTAGTAATGTGTTGTAACTATTGGACGGAGCCAGTTGAGTTGTTTCTCTTAGCAGAAGCGTCATATTTACCATACACTAATACCCAGAGCCGGCCCGACCCATTAAGCGACATAAGCGGCCGCTTAAGGCCCTGTCACACTGTCCCAAAATTGACACCCGATGGACACACGATAAAGGAAATGTTCAAATTCGGCTGTGATCGTAGCAACATCGGGCCATTCGTGAGGGCATCTTAAGCCATCGTATGACCGCCGGTGGAGTTTCTCAGGCTCCGGCAGCAACTTCGTGAGCGGCAACTTCGTAAGGCACTCGTGAGGGCATCTTGTCAAATCGTGTCATCTTCGTGTTATCATCGGTGCCATCGGGCATTCGCCCTCACTCTGATCGGGGCGAATGCCCGATGGCACCGATGATAACAAGATGCCCTCACGATGGCCTTACGAAGGGCAACATTTACACACGAATTCAACACGAAAATGAACCTTCGCAAGGTCCTTCGGCAATTTTTTGGCATGCCAAAGATTTTGCCACCGCTCACGAAGTTGCTGCCGGAGCCTGAGAAACTCCACCGGCGGTCATACGAAGGCTTAAGATGCCCTCACGAATGGCCTGATGTTGCTACGATCACAGCCGAATTTGAACATTTCCTTTATCATGTGTCCATCGGGTTGTTTTATTGCACAACAAAATCATGTAAATATATTATGTAAATAACCCAATTTGTGTTCTGTGAAACTAAAAAGGATATAATATATTATTTTGAAGGACAGTTGACAGGAAGTTGTTGTTGTTATGGAAACAACATTACGGAGAAAACGTAATATTTTCTACATATAACGACGGATAAAGTAAAGAACAAAGTCTGAACATATCAGTACAGTATCATAGTACTGTAACATAATTGTTTTTGGTACTTTCATTGCAGTTGTATGTCTTAAATGTAATGTAAATGTTGCTTTCGTGTGTGGTTCGGGGCCATCTTCGTACGAAATTCACAATTCCATATTCGTGTGTCCATCGGGTGTCAATTTCGGGACAGTGTGACAGGGCCTTTAGGGCCCCCTAGCAAAAAACATAATATTTGTTTTATCTCAGTACACCGTCGCTGTGATAAGTGTTTAATTAATTTTGTTAATATGCCTAGATTGCCTACTCTCAAAGTAATGTATTATATTATTGAGTCAATAATATAATACATTAACCTGTTAAACCCCAAGATCCCCGTCGGCGGGGACCCTGTTTTTTTTTTTCACGACACTGTGTCTCAGGGGATCTTAATATTTAAAAACCTATTAATGTGTTATACCAGATTAACGGAAATAAGCTCAGCTAACTGACGATACAAACCATTTTTACCAAAACAAAACACAAGTCTCATAAGAAGCATCTAAATGACCCCTTAGCGAAAAATGCTAACGGACATTGGCACAGAACTCAAGATAAAAGTACCCTTATTACTTATCGTAGCTACAACACAGTGGCGACTGGTCATTAGGGGCAGGCACAGCCCCACCTAGTGTCAGCAGAAAGTATTAAAAATAATGATTACAACAAAATGCTAAAAATAAATTTAAAAATATATTAAATATATTTTAAGATCATGTTTAATCATCTGATTCGTCTGTACATTGCGGTTTTAGTCTGTGTTCTTCTAATTAGTGTCTACAGTGTGTGCCTATTGAGCTGTTTAGAGCCATATGGGACAAAACCCGATCCTGCCCCTCCCTCTCTCTGTCTAAGTGAATGGTGACTGTAGACACTACACTGCATATGCTCAGAGTATTGTCCTATTTAATGTGTGTGGCAAAAAAATAATGACCATAGGGGCATAGTGCTGCCATCCCCACCATACGTCATCTCACATAATTCAGAGCTGATTGGCTGTAAGTACGTGTGCCGCGAAAAGTGTGGTGTGTGAAGAGGAGACGAGAGAGCTGCAGTGACGCATCCTAAAACCCGGAAGTAAGCTGCGCATGGCTTCCCTCCACAAAAAAGCAATGAGATTTCTCCATAGGATTTTAGAAAATAGCTCCAAATAAGATCTGTGGGAAACAAACCTGTTAGATAAATGCACATTTTGTTCAGCCGGATAATATCCACATGTCTACCCTACTTTTATAATTTTGGAATTATAAATCTATTGATTAGATTAGATTTATGATAGACTTTTGAAACTACAAGAACATAAGGAGGACTTTTACAAAAAAGTAAGAGATTTTTGTCCAGAAGGATAGGCAAATGGACTTAATCTTCAAGTCAAGGTAAGACTGCAATTTTATTGAAAATGGGATCTTACTAAGAGAGAACAATTCAATATTTAAATGATAAAATTACATTTTTTGGGTATCCTTCTGTTGAACTGTCTGTTTAAAATTAATTGAAGCATCAGACAAAAAAAGCTTTTGAAAATAATAATATATTTTGATTTAGGTCAAAATATAATATTTGTAAACCTGAAGAGTCAGTGCCAGTGCCTCACCAGCCATGAACCTCACTGCAGAAGCTTATAGACATCTAAGTTTGTTGTGCCCCACCACTTTTGTACATATAAAAACGCCACTGCTCACAGTACACAGTTGATCCTGAGTCCTGTCAGTTAAAGTGTTTCATAGTTAGCTTAGCTAAGCATCAACCTAGCACTGAAATATATGGATGTTATGTGACAGTATTTCTGAGGAAAAGTCAGCTGAAATGGTGGCATAGTTGCCACTGCTTTACGTGTCGACAGCATGTTTGAACGTATTTGCAGCAGTAAATGTGGCTGTTTGGCCACTGACGTTGCCACCTGAATTTAAATGTGCAACCTCTTTTTGTGACAGATTTTTGCATGCAATTATAATTCTTCTGAATAATATTCTGATTGACAGCTAGTTTCTATGTGAACATTATGAGATGGACAGCCAGAGAGAATAAATGAAAAACAGTTATGAAATACTATATGACAAAACAATAATACAGTTTAAAAGGGGAGTGATTTGTAAAATATCCATAAAGAAAAATGTGTTTACAGTTATGTTTCATATGGGTGTTGAGAGATGTATCCATAGATCTCTTAATTTTGCTCTCAAAGTGCACCAGATTGATGCTTTTAACTTCAATATTTAAAAATATATCTTCCCGGGGGAGCATGCCCCCGGACTCCCCTAGATGAGGTTAGGTCCACGGTGTTTACATGCTTATTTATACAATATCTGTGCTTATGCTAACATCATAAGAAAAAAGTTGGTTCCGTGTTGTGTGTAGTGAGAACGCGCTAGAGTGAGGGGGGCCCCCAAGCCAAAGCTTGCTTAGGGCCCCCAAAAGTCTAGGGCCGGCCCTGCTAATACCAGCGTGGTATCAATCATCTTTTCCAACTTTCTGCTAGAAGAAAAGTCAGTGCTGAAACTCATTAGAAAGTTGTTAAGAATGCTAAAAGTGTAATTAAAGATGATCAATTGACTTAAAAATCAAACAAGTTATGTAGGTCGGCACACACCAGACTGTGACTCAAGTTTATTTGGTCAGACAACCAAATTCCTAAGATCCAAGGAAATTAACTTTCAACTTTAAGGTTTCCTAAATGAATGATAACATAACTGAAAACCTAATGGCTCATTAGAAAGTCTGTAATTTAGAGTTTTCTTACTTTCTAATAAGCTATCATGTCTTGAGTTAATAAATTGAGTTTATACATTGTTAATGAAGGGATTTTGGTCTGGACACTCGAGCAGCATGGCTCTGTGAGGTAACGTGATGGTCGTTGTACACTGAAGTATATCCCAGCAATTATTTGAAGGATTACCTTAAAATTAAAAAGACAGACATCAATGATCCCCACATGAGGAATCTTACAGACTTTGATGATCTTCTGACTCTTCTTCTTGCACCACCATGAGGCTGACACATGTTTTAGTGACTGTTGGATTTATTCCCATAATCTTTGGTATTTAACATTCATGTTCCCCTCAGGATGAATTATAACAACTCTGGCAATTTATTAATGTTCCATCTTGCACCATAAAGTTTAAGACCAAAACCTGCAAAGAAACTAAATTCCCATAATCATATACTATAGTTTGAGTTTAGTGCCAATTAGAAAATGATAGCATGCTAATTGGCTAAATGTGAATATGTTACAGATTGTATCACTTTATTCTCAGCAGGTTAAAGTTGTCATTATGAGCATGATAAAACACTTTGATGTTAGCATTTAACCTGCAGCCTCACAAAGCTGCTAGCACGGCTGTAGAAGGTAAGTGGTGAAATTGAAGGTGATTTGATTAA